TTATATTCTAATGTGACAGAAAAAATAATTTCATTCAAATTATACAGTTCCAAGAATTTCGAAATCTTCGATTGTGCTTAAAAGTTCTTTTTGCAAAATTAAGGGTCTATTTTCTTTACAATTTTCAAGTCGTTTTCTGTTTTTCATTTTTCAAAACAGTGAAAATGCGTTCTCTTTCCTTTTTTCGAAAACGCAATTTTCAAAACAAGTTAAAAAATTTCAGAACGACTAATTTGTCGTTTTGAATGTTTTCAATAATCAAGCCAAAATTTTCAAAATGCATTTTCGGTATGGTCAAAACAATTTTTTCAAAATGTCAAAAAGAAAACATTTTCTTTAATTTCAAAATGGACACTCAAAGCACAAAACTCAAAATGAATTCAAAATTCAAAACACAAAATTGAAAAACAAAGAAAACGGTCCCTAAGTGATTCAGGACATGTTTAGTATTATTTTTGCTTTTCCTTTTCGTAGAAGAGCTTTCAAAAGAAGTTAATTTAATTTTTATTTTATAACCAAGTAATTGTGAATAGAGCTTCTTGTTCTGAAAATGCTTTTATAGGAAGTTCACACTGGACCAACTACTTCTAAAAAAATCTTTAACTAGATGAACCACTTTAATGAAATTAGCCAAACGAATTCAAATGCAAATTTTGGATCTCAAAAGTTCCATTTGACTTTTCAAAATTCATACTAAATTTGCCATCATTAGATTATTATTATTATTTTGATCAACAATGCTACACGTACAACACTTTAGTGTACGTTACTTTTACAACCTCTCACAAGGAGGTGGGGCCCGCGATTACCCCACCTCCTTATGAGAGGTTGTACAAATGTTGTACAAATAATTTTATATTATTCTAATTATTCCACAAGAATACACTTTATTACTTACACTTCAACAACCAATAATATGGAAGCTCTGATACAAAATATCTGCAATATAAATATCAAATATAAACCGCCGTCACACGTATGAAAATTGTGAAACAACCCAATGATTCCCTGTACACGCTTACAAACCCTACTTTATTGCAACTTGTGGATCAACTCTATCCAACATTCTATTCTGCTACAGTAATCTCAATACATCACAGATCGTCACCGTTCTTCACCAAACAACCCTGGTATTTTCAATACCACTCTAAACCTAAATCTGGAAAACTTTTCATATTCGTACCAATCCTTTCCTTGGTGTAGATCATTTTTTCTACTTCAAACAAACGCACGGAGATAGAATCGGTTATATTTTACGGGAAGGGAAAGAGTTATTTCGAAGAGAATAGAGAAGAAGATAAATCGACAGGTGACATGAGATTTCTGTTCTTTGTGATGGAGATTTGGGTTTGATTGTGTTTTCATCCAAAGGTAAACTCTGTTGAGCACGCTACTGATGCCTGGTACCTACGTCTCTACACCACTCTTCTCGTTCTCGTTTACTCGATAAGATTTAATCTTATTTTTTCGTTTTGACGACCGTGGAGCCTTATTAGATAAGAATTTATATTCGACCCTATCGAGTTACACATCGAGGGTATTTTTTGTTTCATGCAATTACTTATTTGATTTTGCAAACCTTCACTTCTACTGTGTGAAAAAGAGGCGAAGACTTGAATTCACTCAGGTTATTGGCTACGAATATTAAGTACAGAAATTTGTCAATACGCCCATAGAGCACAACATTGTAATTAAGGGCGTTTTAGACCCTCAAAATTGTTAGATCCTATAAGAAATTTAATACAAAATTAAACTTGACATTGTAATATATATTGGATTAATGTAGATAATATATATATGTAAGGAGAATGGAGATTAGTGTAAATGAATTAAATTCAAAGAATACAGCAAGAGTTAATAAATTCTTTTAAAATCAAGTTAGTAAACGACTAAATGAAAATTTGTAAAGATAATTTACTGCAAGACCATTAAATTCTTGATTTCTTTACAGCATGGAGATGTTACTCGAACGATGCGAAAGATATTTGTATGAATAAACAGCTCATTAAGTTTGACTGTAGAATATGCAAAGCTCAGGGACAGATTGAAGATTTTGCTGACAAACCAAAGGTAACGTAGCCTATCTCTATCCGCTCCCTCTGCTGTGTTTTTTTTTTTTTTTTTTTTTGATATTTTATGGCTTTAAAAGTGACTAAAATGTTGAAATCAAAATCTATAATCAATTTTAACCACACATTTTATAAGATAAGATCCACAATTTTTATCATCTTTTAAACTACACATTTCATCACTTTTATCAAAAAATTTGCAAAAAAATTATGAAAACTTTATAACAAACAACCCTTTAGGGTCTGCTTGGGAGTTTTTTCATTGATTTTGATTATCTACGAGAGGTTGAAAAAATTGATGCTTGTTAGTATAATTTTCCTCTTATTTCTCGACCTTATTTCTCGACCTACCAAATTGATAGATTTTCTTTGTTTTTTACATTCTCTTCCAATTTTACCCAATATGAAATAATTATTTTTAACTCATATTTTGTTCAAAACTAATTAGCAAATAAAAATTCAATAACTAACATTAACTCAAAAGTTATTTATAAGTGAAAAATTACTCTTGAATAAAAAATAACTTTTGTAACTGATGTATAGAGATGATAGGTAAATATTAAATGACACTTGAACGTAATTGGAGTGGTTTTAACTCTGTGAAGTTAAAATATGGTTCGTATTAAGAGCTACAAAATTAAGAGATTGTTTCGGAAAAATTATGAACCGAAATTCTAACTGTTCGTTCTGGTGATTCAATCTCATTTACTTGCCAAAACAAGAACTTCTAATTCGATTTTGATTCTTTCTACGATTCAACCTCCTTCCACATTCTTCCACAAGATTTACTTAATTAGGAAGCAAATATGGACCCTGTTTACATACTATTATCCTCTTCCTTAACTATTAAGCAATTGAAGTCTGCCGTTTTTGCCGTCTTCAACACCCAATTGGAAGTCGCCTGCCCTTCTTTTTATCATTTGGGATCCACATTTTGCCATCTAAATTTGGATATACCTTATTTTCTTGTAAAATGTTATATTCTAATTGTGACTATGAAACTAATTTCATTCAATTTTTACGGTCCAAGAATTTCGAAATATTCAATTGTACTTAAAAGTTGATTTTTGCAGGACAAAAAATGGAGAAAGTTAATCTCATTTCTTTGGTGATTTATTACTCGTTGTTTCTTGTTGATCTCACGTGTATAATGGTTGGGGTTTTGTTTTGTGGTTGTGACCTTGGAATGCCACCTCAAGCCATGTGAGTGTACTTGAAACAAATTTCTATGATATGTCGATTTGGTAATTTGAGAGGGGGAAGGAAAAGAGTTTCTCGATTAACATTGGAATAATGTTATTTATTATTATAATGATGAAATATCGATGATATGACAATTTAAGTGAAATAATGAGATGATAATTCAATTGCCATCCCTCTCATGAAAATTGAATTATATCATCCCATTATTCCACTTAAATTACTACATGACCAATGTTTCATTATTATAATGATAAATAACATTACTCACAGCATTTAAGATTTATTAATATGGATAAAATAACAATTAATGATGTGGAAATTTGGGTTGATGTGTCATTATATAATTGGAGAGTAATTATTGAAATATGAAATTGAATAGATCGGTGCTCTAGCAACACTTGTACAAGTTACTGAAATATAAAATTAAGTGATTAATGATTTATTTAGTATGATTTTTGCTTTTACTTCTTGTAGAAGAGTTTCTTGAAAAAGTTAACTTCATTTTTATTAGAAAATTTCTAAAATAATTTCTTATTTCGAAAGTGCTTTTAGAGGAAATAACATTGGATCAACTTCTTCCGAAAGATCTTCTGACTAAAAGAAACACTTTTATAAAATTAGTCAAATGGGCCCTGTCATATTGTAACTCTTATTTATCCCCAATTTGATAGTTATTTTTGGGAAGAATGAATTTTTAGTCCCATTTAGGAAAGAATGAACTTTTGAATAGTAAATTTTTGGAGGATATATGGTTAAAAAGTAGGAAAAATATTTTAGTTTACGTGTAAAATATTTTATTGTGTGAAAGTATGGTTGAAAAATGAGTATGTAGAAAAAAAAGTTTTGAAAGAATGATTGTCAAATATGGACTTAAGATCACTTAACGTCACTTAAATTGATATTGTAGTACTAACTAGCCTCTGTTTGACACTCATTATTTCAAAAATCTTTTTTTCTATGTGCTCATTATCAATCAAATTTTCACAAAATAAAATATTTTGCAAGTAAACTCAAAATATTTTTTTATTTTTTAATCACACATTCTCAAAAAAATTATACTATTCAAAAAATCAAATTTTTAGTAGATTTTGATAAAAGTTGATGAGATGTGTGGTTGAAAATTTATGGATCCCATGAGATGGATTATTAAAATTAACCGTTGACTTTAATTTGAGATTTTAATTAGATTTTTAATCCAAATCAAACATTGGCTTAGTATTACTCGCTGGAGTTAAGGATAACTAATAAGATGAACTCAAACAAAGTCAAAGAAACAAAATTATGGCGTCACTGATTCAAAATATCAAAAACTGGGTTTGTGCAGAGGAGCGATTCTAATTATTGAACAAGAAGACACTATTACTTACACTTGAAGAACCAATAATATTGAAGCACTGGTGCAAAATATCTGCACTATAAATATCAATATATACGGCGGTCACACGTATGAAAATGATGAAGCACCCCCTGATTCCCAACTCACACGCTTACAAAACCCTACTTTATTACAACTTGTGGCTATCCAACTTTTATTCTACTACCGCAGCCTCAACCAATCACAGATAAACACCGTCTTAACGAACAATGGTTTTCCAATACCACTCTTAACCTAAATCTGGAAAACTTTTTCTATATATACTCATACAAATCCCTTCCTTGGCGTGTAAACATTATATGTAGCTTATATTCTGCTTCAATCGAACACAGGGGAAGAATCGGTTATATATAATGGGAAGGGGCAGAGTTGAGTTGAAGAGAATTGAGAAGAAGATAAATCGGCATGTGACATTTTCGAAGAGGAGATCTGGGCTGCTGAAGAAAGCTCATGAGATTTCTCTTCTCTGTGATGCGGATGTGGGTTTGATTGTTTTTTCGACCAGAGGGAAGCTCTATGAATATGCTACTGATGCCTGGTATCGACGTCTCTGTATCACTCTTTTCTTCTCGTTTTCATTCTCGTTGTCGTTCTTTTTCTCGTTTACTCAATTGGATTTGACTCTTAGAGCATAATTTTCTATTTTTACGACCGTCGATTTTATTTAATAATGATTTGTACTGTTCAGTCCTATCTAGCAATGGATCAATAGTTTGTTTCGGTTCATGCAAGTACTTAATTTGTTTTTGCAATCCTTCACCTGTACTGTGTGGAAAAAAGGTTTAGCCTACTTGAAGTCAATTGAGGTTGCTTTGCTACAAAAAAATGAGTGTAGAAATTTGTCAAGGTGTCGATCGAGCACAACATAGTAGTTAATGATGAATATTCTGGTGAATTAAAGTGGATAATATTCTTTGATTTTTAGTTAATAATAAGATGTTATTTGTATCATCAGCCATATAATATAAAAATGAATTTCAATAGAATACTTTTAGAGTTGATCACTTCATTTAAAATCGAATTAGTTTTGCTAATAGAAAATGTATTAAAAAACTAACTGAACATATATATTAAGATAGTTTACTGAAAGACCATTGAATTCTTGGTTTCTTTACAGCATGGAGAAGATACTCGAACGATATGAAAGATATTCGTATGAAGAAACACAGCTCACATCAACGAACGTTGAACCGCAGGTTGGAGGTTAAAACTGAATTTTAATTAGAAAAAAGTTGTTTTTTTTTTTTGCTATTTTTGGAAATTGGAATTCAGTTTATGGACAGGTAAGTTTGACGGTAGAATATGCAAAGCTGAAGGCCAGATTGGAGGTTTTGCAAACAAACCAAAGGTAACAGAGCCTCTCACTATATCTCTACTCCCTCAGTTATAATTTGTGCTTGCTTGATAAATAAAGCTTTAAAAGTGATTAAAAATTGAAGCTAAAATCAATATTTGATTTTGATCATATATTTCTTTTATGTTTGAGCTCCATTATCTAAAAATTTAATGTGCGTTTAATATGTTGTTTTCAAACTATTTTCAGTTTTGCAGAAAGAAAACAAGACTAAACTTATAACATAAAATTCAAAACTCATTTATGACATTTTCAGTGTTTTCAGTGAAAATTTTAAAAATACTCAAAACATGGAAACAAACACTTTACCTGTTTGTAATGATGGCAATGGAGAGGTCTATAATTAGTGCTTGTTTAAATAAAGCTTTAAAAGTGACTAAAAATTGAAGTTAAAATCAATAATTAATTTTGATCATATATTTCATCCATGTTTGAGCCCATTATTTAAAAATTCAATGCGCATTTAGTTTGTTGTTTTCAAGCTATTTTTGATTTTTCAATTTTGCAGAACATTGAAAATGTGTTTAATTTGATATTCTAAAAATGCATTTATAATCTACTTGTTCTCGTCCCGTTTGAGGTGGGACCCGCAGATATTGGGTTTGACGAATTTTTTTTCAATCCCTTCCTTTTTGAGTCCATTATTTTTTTATTTTTTTGGGGGGACAAAAATGCATTTTGAAATAGTGATTTGATGGAGAATATGTGGTTAAAAAATAAGCAAATTTTTTGAATTTGTGTGTAATATTATTTATTGAAAAATGTGTTGTTGAAAATAAGAGATAGAAAAATGTATTTTGAAAATAATAAGGATCAAACAAGGGCTTAAAATAAAATTTTATTTAAATAAAAAAATAAAAAATAAAAAATAAAATTTGAACAAATAAGATTTACAATTTTTTTTAAAAAATGAAAAAAATAAAGATTTTGAGAAAATAAAAAAAAATTATAAAATTGATAAAAAAAAATTTAAGTACAAAAAATTTTGAAGATAATAATATGTTAACATGATCATAAGTTGAAAAATTTGGGTGAAAAAATGGCATTTTTAATGAAAAATAAAGTCAATCAAACACACTCTAAGATGTCATTTTTTCATCTAAATTACCGATAATTTTTTTCATTGAAAATAGTTTTGAAGTTTTGGCCATATGATCATATTTTCCTCAAATTTGGGCTCAAATAGGTACTTATTTTTTGAAGATAATATGTTAACATGATCAAAAGTTTAAAAAAAAAAAATCAGAGAAAAAATTGCCAATCATCAAACATCATAAAAGTAGGAATTTTGGTGAAAAAATGACTTTTTTATGAAAAATAAAGTCAATCAAATACACTTTAAGATGTCATTTTTTCATCCAAATTCATATTTTTGGGGTGTGACTAATAATGTTTTTCATAAAAAATATTTTTCAGCTTTTGGTCATGTGATCATATTTTCCTCAAAATGGGCTAAGATGTCATTTTTTCATCCAAATTCATACTTTTGGAGTGTGATTGATAATTTTTTTCATAAAAAATATTTTTCAACTTTTGGTCATGTGATCATATTTTCCTCAAAATGAGGCTCAAATAGGGGTACTTATTTTTTGAAGATAATATGTTGGCATAACCAAAAGTTGAAAAAAAAAAATTCATAGAAAAAATTGTCAATCAAACATACTAAAAGTAGGAATTTGGATGGAAAAATGACATTTTTCAGTGAAATACACTCTAAGATGTCATTTTTTAACTAAATTCATACTTTTTGGGTGTGCGATTGATAATTTTTTTCATGAAAATTATTTTTTAACTTTTGACCATATGATCATATTTTTCTCAAAAATAAGAAAAATATTTTTTTATGGAGGATGATTTTTATTTTTTCAGGTGATTCACTCTCTCATCTATCTCCTCTTAGCTACACAACAATAAAAAATGGACAAATATAATATTTTTAGGTTGAAAACTAAATCAATTAAATACATTTAGCCTTTGTTTGGCCCTCATTAAATTAAATTTCACTATATTAAATTTTTCTCTATTCATTTCAACCACACATTTATCAAATAAAATAATATTACACACAAATCAAAAAAAATTCAACCACACATTCTCCCATCAATCACTATTCTAAAAAATTTCAACCCCAAAAAATGCAAAATAATGGGGCCAAACAGGGGCTTAATTAGCCCCGATTGGCCTTCATTAAAATTATTATTTTTTTCCTCTCTTTTCTTATCGATCACGCATTCTTCAATAGAATAATACTGAACATAATTTCAAAAAAAAAATTCTTCTTTTTTAACCACATATAGGGGTTTCATAATTTTCATTCCTAAAATTTATTTTCTTTCTATACAAATTCCCAATCCTGAACATTTTTAGGTAACACTATTTATAAAAAGTTGAGAAACTCGATTCATTTTAGTTTTTCTTAGCACTGATTTTGAGTGATTTAAAAATTAATATAATTTTACTGTATTTCTCACACCCATCAAATTGGTTATTTTGATAGTTTTTCAAATTTTCTTCCAATTTTACCATGTATAAAATAATTATTTATAACTCATATTTTATTCAAAAACTGACTTGTAAATAAAAATACAATTACTAACTTTATAACTAAATTAACTAATGAGAAGGATAATGAGACATTAAGTAGTTGAATAAATATTAAAATCTTGAATCCCATTCCTTTATCCATTTTATTATGCATTCAAAATTTAGATAACACATATTTGGATATGAAGATTAATGTTCATAATTCATTTAATAATCTCTCGAGTTAACTAAACATATATTCACATGTAATTTTCTTATCTTATATCTATATAAAAAAATACAAACATGAAACGATGCATTGAATTACAATAACGTCAAAAGTATCATGTAAAGCATAATAGTATTTCACAATTATTGTTTCTACCTGCCAAATATCAATTCAACTAGCAATCAGTTAAAATTCTAACACATAAAATTGTAAAATTATTAAAAAAATAAAATGTAAAATTATGAAACACTAAAATTCTAAAAAATAAAATTGTAAAATTTCTAGAAAGATAAAAACATTTAATGCTCTTAATGACTATTTGCATAAAAATTATAAAAAATATTTAAATGATCAAAGATAAAGATATTCTAAAATTTCCCAAAACTTTAAAATGGATATATTACTTTTGTAGCAATATTCTAAAATTTCCCAACTTTAAAATGGATATATTACTACAATCAAATTTCATGAATAAAATGTCATAAAATATTTGTTCAAAATTCAAACCAAACGTATTTTTTAATTTTCTATTTTGAGAAATAATGTTTCAAAATGACAAATCAACTCCTTTTTAGCAATGTTAAAACAAATTCATTGAAACACAAATCGAACGAGTCTTAAATTTCTAGCAATCATTCAATCCAAGCAATTGGAGTATGAAAGTAGGTTTGGAAATGTTTTGTAGATCAAAAGCTTCCTATTTAATTCTCCTTTGGAAAAAATATGAACTTTGTGACCTAAAGAGCCTCCTTAGCTTGAATATAATGCATTTACTGAATCCCCACCACTTTAATTGTTGGATGGATGTATGTATTTATAGTGCAAGAATTAGGTTAAAATTCTTGCCTTAATTAGTTTCTAAACAGAAGAAAAGGACACAATTTTCGTCTGCCCAAAAAATAGGCTTTGCGAAACTGCTGACTGGATTTCTTTCTAGTTTCAGAGGCTACGTATGGCTTACGACTGTAGGCCCCAAGTTCTCTCTTTTGTCCATCTTTGTCATTGACTTGTCCTCTTTGTTCGGCTTGAGTCTTTTCTGATTAAATACTTCTAGTGCTTCATATCATATTTGAATATTCATAATTAAGTCATCATCATCCCAAAATCGTTAATATTAGAACTGATGCAAGTTTCAAAAGTGTAAAATTTAGTCCTTGAACTTTTTAATTGTTGAATTTAACCTCAAAACTTGTGATCTCCTCCAATTGCTCCATCAATACTGTCAACTAATAATTAAATACAATCTGGTTACTCTTCAAGTGCTTCAAATCAACTCCAATTATGATTCAATTTTCCTATTTCTAGCATATTTCAACCAAATGCATTCAAATTGGGGTTTTACCTACAATTATTAAAATTTAATCTAAATTAGGTAAATATCTGCTCAATTAAGCAATAAATAGGTAAGTGTATTAGCCTAAATAAGTGCGTAATGCGCACTTATAAATAATCATAATGGAGATGCTACATGCTAAACAATTTAGATGCCAACTTATGTTTGGGAGTTTTAATCCATGTTTGGGAGTTTATCCCGCGTTTTTAGAATGTTTTTAAAAAGAATAAAATTATATTATGCCCCATAGTGAGATTCATATTTTACATTTAGCTTTATATATATATATTTTACAAAAACTCTTTTGACCTTTTCAGGCATTACATGGGTGAGGACCTGAATGCCCTAAGCCTTAAAGAGCTGCAAAATTTGGAACATCAGCTTACTGTTTCTCTTAAACGCACTAGGACTTGCGAGGTACAAATTAACAGTTTAATTCAAAGCAGCCAAGCATAAAAATAGAGTAAAATCACTTTTAATTAAGTAATCTTTTGTCTACAAGAAAATTTGCTTTTTTCTTACTTTGAGAAAGAGTTATTATTTTTTAAAGTAACTCTTGCTTTATGTTAATAAATTACTTTTTTTCTACTTTGATTATTTTAAAGCGTATTTATCTCCTTTTTATTGAACTTCTAAGTTTAGCCAAACATGGGTGTAGAAATAATGGAACCACTGAAATTAGTGTGTGTTTTATGCAGAATAAACTCATGAACGAATCAATTGCTGAGCTTAAGAAAAAGGTATGGCCTTGTACCTCTTCTGTGTAATGTAGACATGATCTCGTGGGAGTATAATAGGTTCGTTGACCAAAAATAACATGTCTTATAGTAATTGCAAATGATCTATTTAACTTTATATCTTCTTGTAAATATGTAACGATCTAAATGAAGTGGTGTAGCCGACCTCGAATTTATAGAGAAAAATATTTTGTTTTTTTTATTATATTGTATTTATATTCCCTTGTTTCATACAAGGACAAGGCATTGCAAGACGAAAACACCTCACTCGTGAAGGCGATCAGAGAGGAGGAAGAATTAGCCCGAAAGTCTCAACCGGAACAACAAAATCATGACATCAACATTTCTTCTCCTGTTCCGCAACCCTTGAGTTTGGGTAAATTCTCTTTTTATACGTGTGCATTGACATATTGGAATGAGTTACTTTCAAAATAAGTAACTTTTTTACTTATAAATTTGCATGTATAAAGTACAAGAGAATGACCTTTTATTATGGGGCGTTATACACAACTATATATTAAAATAATTACTTATAATTATACAAGCATTAATATTTGCTTATGTGATTGGTACGCGAGAATTGAACATGTCAGTGCAGAAGACATTGAAATTAATTTAACAAGAATTGCAGGTGACCATGGAGAAGTTGAAGGCCAGTCTCAACAATCTAATGCAGTAATACCTCCATGGATGCTCCAACATATGCATGAATCCAATAGTAAGGGATAAGAGCATGTTTGGTTGGACTTAAAAGTTACTTTTCTGATAGTATGTGTCTCTACATATCCACTTTTCGAGAAAGTAACTTTTGATTTACATGTAAGCACAATCAAAGTACTAAGACTTGTACATATGTATCCATAATCATGCTTCCTATGGTTGACAGCTATTAGTTCGACTTGTAAGGAGTGTAGATCTCGACAACCTGATTATAAGTAATAGTCGAGATTATTTATTTCAGCGCTTTTAAAATACTGCATGTACTGTAATTTAATATTATACTGTATATTGTAATTATAATGTAACATGCTTTATATCTACTAGTCTCTTTTAACTTAATTATTTGTTGTTAGCTTGTTTAGTTAAAATAGGGGATTTTTCTCGTACTACAAACAAGCATACCCAAAGATTAAAAAAAAAAAAAAATTAGAAACTTCCGTCTATTTCCTTGTTTTATTTTATTATTTAGCCTTTGTTTGAGCCATATTATTTTTTTATTTTCATTCTTCTACTCATTTTCAATCACACATTTTTCAGTAAAATAATATTTTTCATCACATCAATAACTTTTACTTCTTTTTCAACCACATATTCTCATCATTTCAAAATAACGTGGTTTAAACACATCATTTAGTTTCTTAGTAAAATTAAGTTTTTAAAATTTGAGGGGATGGATTTCGAGACTATTTGTGCATTAGGCTTTTGAACCACATTATTTTTCACTCTCATTCTTCTACTAATTTTCACCGAACATTATTATTCGATAAAATAATATTTTTCATTACGTCAATAAATTTTTCTTCTTTTTTAACAACATATTTCACATTACACCAAACAAAAAAAAATGTATTTTTGGACTCAAAATGTGTACCAAATTGGGGCCAATAATAAAAGACCAATGATCACAATGTCCCGATCAAATTATTACGTTAATAAATTTCGAGACTATTTGCGCATTAGGCCTTTTCACCACATTATTTTTTTCACTTTCATTCTTCTAATAATTTTTACCACACATTCTTCGATAAAATACTATTTTTCATTACGTTAGTAAATTTTTCTTCTTTTTTAACCACATATTCCACATTACATTAAAAAAAAAAAATTTGGACTCAAAATGTGCACCAAAATGGGGCTTATAATAAAAGACCAATGATCACAATGTCTCGATCAAATTGCTCCACTTCATCGCCACTCAATTACCAATAATCCGATTTTTTCTTCGTTTGTAAGTAAAATTTTGAAGCTTAGACGAAGAAGAATTTAGTTTTGTAGCAGGCTAACCCTTTTACGCGACTGCTGCTTAAATCAACTAGAATCAGCTTTGATTGACGAGGTAAAAATGATTTTAACCACCCAGAAGAGAACTGTGATTTGTACTTCGTAGATGTAATCACTTGGCACATGCTCTTCATGTGCAGGTCCTACTCCTTTAATAGATTTGCCCAAATTGCTCCCTTCTCAATGAACAAAGAGAACTCACTCACATTTTTCCCTCTTCCCACGAAAACCTCACACTTCGTCAGTGCGTGTAGGTTTTTAACATTCAAAACGGATCTAAGTCTCGCCTCAAATCGACAGATTGCGTAGAATATTACCTTGCTATTTTGATATATCGGTCAACTTCATATTGAATTTTGTATTGCATAGGTCTATATCGGGAGGCACCCCTGTTTTTAATTGGCTTTCTTGATCAGATCTCATGTATGGAGTTTCCTTCCAATTCTTGATTTTGAGTGTGAATTGAATGGTGGGTCGTCACAAAATCTTGATTTTTTGAGGTAAATGACTATATTCTTTTGTTGGCTTGATTCAATCTGAGTAATGGTTTCTTGGATTCTTGAATTGGTATCGAATAGTGGAATACACAGGTGAAAGATGCGGCGACGGGCGGCCGATTACCGTCGCCCGGTTCGAAGGAGGTTGTCATATTGGATCTGGGGGCTTCTTGTGATTTTTTCAGTTGCAGGTTTTGCTTTATTTGTTCTTCATCATAATCAGCACCAGGAGGATCTTGTGGAGCAGCCTGTTTTAGTAAGTATTGAGCAGAAATTATTTCCTTTAATCTTTCCTGGATTGTTAATATATTATTGCCAGTTTGAGTGGAATGTTTAACCTGTTTGATTAAGTAGAAATCATTTCTTTCTTCAATTCCAACACAAAAATATAAAATAAAGTTCCAGAGAACTTTTTCTAGTCTTCTGATGCTGCATCAACCTCTTTTCCGTTGTTTTGGATTGTAACAATATATTGATGATCTACGAAGTTTATTTTTTGATAATTATCTCCACAGGTCCTGTGTGACGTTCTAGTAATAGGTACTGTTGTTTTTTCTTGCTTCTATTCTAGGGATTAACAATAGCTACCTTCAAGCTTCGCAAGCATGTAGCCTCGCTTTTCAGATTACGTGTTAGATGTAGTTGGTGCAAAAATGAAAATCTGTTATTGATTCGTGAAGTTTGATGTGGTTGTGTGGTCTGGAGGTTTCTGGAAGTAGACATATCAATGATTATTTGGGGCGTTGTTAAGAACTCAACAAATACTCTGTGGATAACTACATACAATGGGTAATAATCATGATCATGAAGGTAGCACTGACTAATAGTGAGTTTCGACGTTTACTTATTCTTCAAGTTTTGAAATGGATATTCCACTTCGTGAACAAGGTCGGTGAAACCATTCGTTCCAATATTGTTCTAGGTCTTTGTCGTCCAAGGTCCAAGAATCAATATGTATACAATGATCCCTTATTCTGGTCTTGGAAAAGATGGGAATAAATCAAAACATGGATTTTTATTCCAGAATGAAATCTTATTGAACTGTCACATGTTATGAAAATTTTGGTTCGGCAATGCTTCAGGTGCTAAATAAATTAGGGGTTGGTGATGCTTCGGGTGTTATACAAAATCAGGGCTGGCAATGCTTCAGGTGTTGCACTGAACTTCTACTGCAATACATAAGCATATAAGACTTTGTCATCCTGGAGCAGAAGCATTTCTACATCTTCACTTTGTAGATGAAATTGAATATTCTTGAATGAAAAACTTGTCAGGTGACACGTTACTGCTGGTTTTGACTTGAATATGAAGTTTTATAAATTTTGCTTTGTGCGGTAAAATGAAGTACATTTATAGGAGTTTCATAAGATAAATAGGGGCCAAAGAATTTGCTGGAGTAAATTTATTGAGTTTATTATTTAAGCTTCTTGAAATGGAAATGGAAATGAAGTGTTAGTTTCTTCTAAGAGGTGCCCTTGTCATTATCAGCAAAATTGAACAAGGAACTAAACATATTTCCCGAATAAATATATGGTCGGATACATGAATCCTTTCCGCCACTACGTTCAGTTCAATGCTAGATACATGAGAAGATCTAGATCAGCTAGATTCTTAGCAACTACCACATGCAATGTTATTTTTGGTCTACTCCTCTCTTGTTTGATATGTGTTACTAAGATCACGTCAATCTTATGACCAGGACATCTAAGGTCTATGCAAAAACATAGTACAACGACCTAAGTCATTATTCCCTCAATTTATTCTCAATTTACGCCACACTCTGACCATATGCTAATTTCTTATGTTATCAATTTTATTATGACTACACATCCATTATACCATTATCATTTCCGCTACATTCATCTTATGGGCATTTTGTCCTTCATCTGATTGTACTAGAATATTAGATTATCTCTTTATCTCTTCAAATCACATCATCTTTTAATAACACCTCACGTTTCAAAGAGTTTTCCCTCCCTCCGGATATTGCAGTGTTCTTCCCACTGTTAACTGGAAAACTGGAGAGATACTTCGAAATATTTGCTCCACCTTTTGGACTAAATCTCGTCTAGATGATTAACTGCTGTTCCAAAGCGAAGTTATTGAAGTTTCTTATGAGACTAAGGTTATTTGCCGAGGCCGAAGGTGATATAAAGACGATGATTACTATGAAGGACGTTCTACATCATAGAAGATGCAGACCAAGTATCAGTAGAGCAAATGCTATTTGACATGCCTAAGCTTTATAAATGGTGGGTTGCAGCTTTAGAACAGGATAAGTATATTCATTTTCAACTTGGGCAGTATATTCACGACCATTCTATCAAAAGAATGCATCAAAGCTGATGTCTTTCAACATTGAAGAAAATTGAAGTTTCTGTAGTCAGATTCCCATCTGAACAAAGTTGATGGAGATTTATGTAACCAAGCCTCTAAGGCTGGATTAACCCATTTAGAAGAATGGACAACCCTGGAAGAGAGAATCTGTTAAATTTTGATGCTGAAATAGTTAAAACTGAAAAGATTTTCCATGGATCATGCATTGAAGATGCCTTTGAAGGCAGTAGATTTGCTGTGAAGCTCTTCCAGTGCGAGTTTGAACAGTTTCTTGGCAATTTTCCCTTATTGGTGACGTTGACTTTGCAATAAAATCTCTTCGCCAAGAGAAGAATACCAAGAATTATGATTTATTTAAATGTCAATATCATGCCATCAATTTCTTCGGTGATAATATCTTTATCATACTATTCTCAAAATATAATTTAGCATTAATATAATCAGAAGTATTTAAACAGTACTTCAATATGCAATGTATGTAGCTCTGTGTACCCATTTCCATGTTATTGTGATTACTCTTCATGATGCTTTAAACATTAGAAGATACGGTTTCATATAATTTTATATAACGTGTCTGATTTTTTACTAGTTTTGATTGTTTATCATTATATAACTCAGTCCTCTCTTTGCCAGGATAAGAATACCAAAAATGAAAGGGTTATTCACAGGCATTTAAATTTCACTGAAGAATTATTAAGTGTTCGATCATATGCCAGACAATTAGCAGAGCAAATGGCCCTTGCCAAAGCTTATGTGATCATTGCAAAGGAGCATAGCAATTTTCATCTTGCTTGGGAGCTTAGTTCAAAAATAAGAAGTTGTCAATCCCTTCTTTCAAAGGCGGCAATGAAGAACGAGCCTGTATCATTGGATGAAGCCTTACCTATCATTAAAAGTTTCTCGTCCCTCATTTTTAAGGCTCAAGATGCTCATTATGATATTGCAACCACTATGATTACAATGAAATCCCATATTCAAGCCCTTGAAGAACGTGCAAATGCAGCGACCGTTCAGAGTACAGTATTAGGACAATTGGCTGCAGAATCAGTACCAAAGAACCTTCAGTGTATTGACATTAAACTCACTGCCGATTGGCTGGAGAAAAAGTCATTACAGAAACTTGCAGATGAAAGGAGGAACTCTCCCCGGCTAGTCGATAATAATCTTTACCATTTCTGCTTATTTTCAGATAACCTTCTGGCTGTTTCAGTTGTTGTGAATTCTACTGTTTCTAATGCTGATCATCCAAAGCAGCTTGTATTCCACATTGTAACGAATGAAGTGAAATACGGGGCAATGCAGGCTTGGTTCCTTGGTAACGATTTCAAAGGGGCTACAATAGAAGTCCAAAATATTGAAGATTTCACGTGGTTGAATGCATCTTACTCTCCAGTTTTAAAACAGAAAAATGATGAATATTTACGGAAACACTACTTTGAGGGGTCGAAGGATATGAGTCTTATATCGAAGTTACATAATCCTCAGTACGTCTCTCTGTTGAATCATCTGCGATTTTACATTCCGGAGATCTATCCCCAGCTCGAGAAGGTAGTTTTTCTTGATGATGATGTTGTCGTTCAGAAGGATTTGACCCCACTGTTTTCATTGGATTTGCATGGAAATGTGAATGGGGCAGTCGAAACTTGTCTCGAATCCTTTCACCGGTTTTACAAGTATCTCAATTTTTCAAACCCAATTATCAGCACCAAATTTGATCCTCAGGCATGTGGATGGGCATTTGGGATGAATGTTTTTGATCTGATTGCTTGGAGAAAGGAAAATGTCACTGCGCGTTATCATTATTGGCAGGAACAAAATGCTGACGGATCACTATGGAAGCTTGGCACTCTTCCTCCTGGATTTTTAGCTTTTTATGGATTGACAGAGCCACTTGATCGGAGATGGCACGTCTTAGGATTAGGTTACGATCTGAACATTGATAACCGTCTGATCGAGACTGCAGCCGTAATTCATTTTAATGGAAACATGAAGCCGTGGCTAAAGTTGGGAATAGGCAGGTATAAGCCTCTATGGGAACATTATACGGATCAGACTCACCAATATCTGCAGGATTGTTTCACAAGTTAATACATATGATAATTAGAACTATAATTGCATTACCATAGTCTTAGAAGTAGAAATCTTCGACGTTTATGAGGGTTTTTTGCCCTGTATTTCCGCTTTTTATTTATTTACTCTTGGGAGGAGAATTCTTTTTACACACTAGAAAGTAAACATGTAGCAGGTAAAACTGTAAAAGTTGTAGGGGATTTCATTTTTGGCTGATGAGATTCTGCTCTTCTACAAATTGTAGTATAAATTGTTTCAAGTCTCTCTCAATTCGTGTTGGCTTCTTTGTTTCATATTTTAGACAACACAAGACAGTATTAAGGACGACAGATTCATTTTACTTTCTTGTGCACTAAACTGCATACAGAATAGGAAAATAAATTTGAATTGGTAAGTTAACGTTATTATTGATAATAATAATATTGGCTTGTATATCTCCACATTTTACTCCCATTACCATGTTGAGAAATATTAACTGACTCAAAACAATGTAACTCCCATTTTCATGCCTCATTACCTCTGATTCAAATTCAAATCCAAATCCTACATCTCTCTTTCAGTGGGCACTCTCAACAACCGCCACCACCACCACCTCTGCCACCACTGCCGCCAACGAAAACGCCGAGCATACGAAACTGTTGAACTAGGTAAAGGGTTTAAGGATGAGCTCAACATATGCAATGATGAGAATCGTTCGTTGGAGTCTAAAAGATATAGCATCGTGTTTTTACTCATGCCGGTTTCCTTTAGGTAATATTATTTATTCTTGATCTTCCCAGTGGCATCTTGTGTATGTTGTCATGTTCTAAGACTTCAGTAGTCTACAGAATTAAGGAAAAAAAATGTAAGTTAAAATCTCATTTATCATACTGTTAAGTCTAGTACATATCAGACGTGCACTTGGATTCTCGCCCTTTCTAGTTTAAATAAAAGCAATTGTAAACCATTGATCATTGTGTTCTACTTTAGATGAAGAACCCGAAAAGTTTTGTTCCTCGCTATCTCGAATTCCAAATGGAGGCGTAGTTATCAACCCGAAAGGCTCCCGTAGAAGCCACAAGGTGAAGAGAAAAATGTCGAAAGTTGAAATATGCCATCAAGAAGGTGCATCAGTTCAAAGTTCCACAAGATACAGTAGTACTAATTCGCAGGAAAACGAAGAGGGAAATGCAGATTTGAGCTGGCCGGGGGTTGCAGAAGAGGATTATATCGTCTTCTTTTTTCACGAAGATGGAGGAATCCACATCATAAATGATGGAAACTCAGAAGAATCTGATGAGGTTCAAAATGCTAACAGTACAAGTTCAAGGCGCATTAATCGAAAGGTTAGTGATAGAACGGCTTGTTAAAGCTCTAATTTTCTGCTTAATTTTCTATCACATGTAGCCTTTTTCTAGTATAAACTTTCCTCAAATTGCAAAAATAACTTGATCTCAACTTTCCCACTTATCTTCTTGAAAAACAGCTTGATTATGGTGAGGATATTGAAGAATCTTCTGTCTGTAGAAGTAAACGGGATACGGTGAATAAAGCTGAAAAAGATAATCATCAAACAACTGAGGAAGACATTGCAAAGGTGAAGTACCCCTCAATCTTTAGGTCTCGTCTGGCATGTTAGATACAGAGGATTGCATAGCATTGGACGTTACAATAAACAAGAACTTTGTATTTTTCATTTTTAATTTATATCTTCCATCTTCCCATCACGTTCGCACGAGCCTAAGTGTTTTGTATGTGATTTGAGAAAACAAAACAAGTTGACGACAAACGGATTATTGACATGGATAGTGAATTGCAGCCTGATGAGATCAAAGAGATTAATGGTGTCGAAGAGGGCATCAAAACCAACTCTCTTGAATCGTGTGATTCTAACCAATCGAATAGTAGCATGGGTTCTTTTGCCTTCCCAGTGTAAGTGTGAAAACATGTATTCATTTTACGATGAATTCTAGAACTTTTGCTAATGATAGCCAGGTTTTTCTCGCATGTAGGTTGGGATGGGAATGGATAGGCAGCCCTATGCAAATGCCAAAATCACAAGGCAAACACAAGAGTCGAAATCTGCTTCGTCAATGTTGCAGATTTTGAAAGCTACTCGAGAAATCAAGATGCAAGGATCGAACTGACTCTGCACTATCTTTATATCTATGTTTGTTATTCTTTGGGGACTTGACTTCTGGAAACTATACCAGAGGTCCCTAAGAGTGTTTTATCTGCTTGTAGTATGTAGTTTCAATACCTGTCAATTTAGTTCGGCTAAAGCTTTATTTAAAAGTAACTTTTTTTTACAAACTGTGTTTTCGACTTTTTGGAATATGATGCACTGCAACTACAAGACCCATGAGCGAGTTGCAAGACTAGGTTGAGCTTTCAATTAAGTGTATCAAGAAAAAATAGTAAATGAACGGTAGAAAACATAAATAACTCTTTGAAAGCTACAACATGATGCAAGAACAGAACTCAACAGTTCAAATATCGCACCACCAATTTATGAAATTGTGCGTGCTATTGATGAAAAAATGAATATGACATGCACGTGAGAAGATAGACTTGTTGAAGACGTAATTTAAAAAAATGAGTTTGTCAACTCTCTACCAGCTTAAACTTTAAGATAAAGTGGTTCAAAATCAAGATCATATTCTATGCAAACCATGCTAGCATATAGAATGAGACGACATTTGGTCAAGATGAGCATCTCTTCAAGGAAAACTCAATAACAAAAATTATTCACTGTGCAACGAAATTCAATAACAAAATTTTTTCACTCTGCAGCGCCCTTAGGATTGAGCATAGAGATGAGGCTAGCATTAAAGATCTAATATTCATTTAATTCACCTTAATTTTTTTTTGGAAATCCAAACCGGATAATCCCATTGAGTTAGATCACTGCAAACAGCAGACGACAGCAACGGCGGAAACAATGAGCCAAAAAAAAAACTGACTCCACAGCCATACAAGCATGAGCAGCGAGCTCATAGGGCATTCTTTTTCCATCTTCGCGAGGGACATAACGACAAGGGCCACTACTCAAACCCCAAAAAATTAAGCAATCTCGTACAAAATTACCTCATTCGACGCAAAAGAAAAACAAGATGAAACTTTGGCATAAGCGCAACGAATTGCACTAATTTACTTTTAAGATTTGTTATTTTCTTTCACGAGACTTCAAGATTAAAACAATAAAGTTACCATAAACTAAAGGCATAGAATGGAGAGAGAGAAGAGAGCTAGTTACATAAATAGCTTTATACCTCCACAAAGTTCAAATCTTCATTCCATTTACCTCAAACACAAATTGTAAGAGAAACCACAAAGGATTCTACTTGAGTAAATATGGACTGACTCACTAAGTCAGTCGGTAAGTGCTCAAAATAATCACTTTGAAACCTAACAAACAATGCCCAGAAAATCCATTTCAGTAACAAACCTGGAGAATTTATATGCTTTGGTTCAGAACAGACGATTGCAGACGTAATCTTGCACAGGTAACTGCAGCAATAGATCTTTCATCTTGCTTTGCTTTTGCAGCAGTAGCAGCAGCAATGTAAGCTTCTCTTGCAGCCTCCAATTCCTGCATCAATAAGCAAGTTTCATTTGAAGGTAACTTAAGAAAGAATCAGTAAATTTCAATGCACAGAGCACGTTCAGTTGAGCTTAAAAGTAATTACATTTTGTTTTCAAACATGTTCAGCTAATAATTAAAGTTTTCTAATTTTAAAGTAAAATTGGAATAACACTTACATTATAGCCAAAACAAGTAACTTATTTCTTTTCCATTTTGATTGACCAAAAAAAATATATTTATTTATTCATAAGTAAACATTTTAAGCTTAGCCAAACATTCTCTAAACCAAAAGGCATCATGAGTAAAGTTTTTAAGCTTAAACGTCAAAATTCTGACCTAGAAGACAACAGAGAGGAATCATCCTTTTTTCAGATTTATTTTATGTGGAAAGGGGAGAGAGGAGACTGAGTGCATGTTTGATACCCATTAATTTATTATACAATTTGCTACAGGATCATTTTAAATCACACATTCACGCAATAAAATATTATATTCTAGTATCAAAAAAATTTTCCTTACTTTTTAACCACACATCCTCCTAAAATCACTACTCAAAACTATTTTTTCTACAATAATGGTTGTCAAACAGTATCTGAGTGATCAATAACTTACTATGTTGTGATTCTCATCTAGAGGACTGAGGATAAGAGACGTCATCATAGTCTGCAGCAGAATGGGCATCACTCTTTGTGAAGCCTTGAATTAATAGCATCATTGATGACATATCTCCTTGCACCATTTCTAGATCTTCTTGGAGCTTCTCCACTTTTTTGTTAGAAGTCGTTGCTTCCCTGTGTAATTTTTCCATGGCTGCTTGCTTGTCAGCAAGCTTAGTCTGTGGAAAAAATATGCAAGTAACAAAAATATGAGATAAATTCATAGAGATAAAAGGAGAGTAACATCCTAATCGAAAGATATGTTTGCCTAAGCTTCAAAAGTTGATGAGTTTCAAAATTAAAAATTTTTGTGGTAAAGGTTGGATATAAGTTACTTATTTTGATAGAAAGTGAGATTTTTAATTTTAAAAATAAACAACCTGGTAAAATGGAAAGTTACCTAAGCAATAAAATTGGAAACTTCCTTATTCCTAACATAAACCTAATAATTGTGCTAAGAAAATCATTCAATAGAATGTCCCAAAATAAATAGTTAAGTAGTCCAAAACCCATGACTAAAAAAAACATTAAATTGCACACGTTGCTAATTATACTCCATCAAAACAATGTCTGGGCGCACTTATAAGTTGGCAAAAAGTGATTTTTGGACCGTTGATGCGTGCAATGGTCAATTTTTCATCAAATGAACTGACTTCAATGTCAGACACTTTTTCTGTGGACTGACTTCAATGTAAGACACTTTTTCCGCTTAAGCCCTTCCATTTGAATTTCCAGCACACATGTTGCAACAATTAGAGGGTAAATATGACTTGGACATGTTGCTTTGCTTTGAACGACAAAGACTACATCACGTGGGCCCGACTGAAACAGTCCATTAATTGATTGGCATAAGTGAAGAATTGCGCCCAGACACACTCTGAATGTGTAAAGTTTTAGGTTTACGTGCAAAGTATTCAATGTGTGATTGAAAATGAGTACGAGAAATAGAATCAAATAGGGGCTCAATAGCCTACAAGGCATGTAAAATTAGATGGAACTACAATAGAGTCATCAAAAGAATAATCAAGAAATACAACTGTTTTCTGATCATTTAATTTATTAAAGAGAGAGGAAAAGACTTGTTTGCAGTTTGCATCTACTTTCCCTACCCTTTTATTTATTATTTGGGCTGAGGGAAAGAGGATCACTATAGCATCAAATGTATACCTTTGTATAAGAGGGCTGTAGTTAACTGGACATAATCAAACAATCCTTTTCTGCATCCTCGTTTTTAAGTTTATCAAGTTCCATATGGATGGATGCCATCTCCTTCTTTGAAAGTTCCATTGATTTCAGAAGTGCCTCTTCTTCTGAAAGTTTTCTCTGTAGATCTTCCACTTGTTCCCTAAGTGATGCCAACTGTTGTCCATCCTTTTCTGAAAGGATTGAAGTTGAAGAGGAAATGGGGAAATCGCCAGCACATCCATCTTTATTATGCACTACATTTTTGTTTTGGTCCTTCTACTTTTTATTCGGGATCACCTGCGGCAAAAAATTCAACTACATAGCCCAATTTGAATTCATGAACAGACAATGTAACTTATTTTGCTCCGCACCATTATAAAATGCATGTTAGTTGTATAGTTGGCCTAGAAGGGCAAGGAAGACACTGTATTCAGACATTCATTTTTCAAAGAAAGACTACTCATGGTTACCAAACCATACTTTTAAATCTGGTTCTCTGAATTTGTCATCTCCAATTTTATAAATGACTAGGACGGACTGGGGTGCCTACTGCCTACTGCCGATTGAGAATAAATTAAGGAAAGGAAGGCTTAGGTGGTTAGGACATGTTCTGAGTACTGTTCATTGGAATGACACAATCTTACTAAAACATTCAAAAGAGTGGGGAGTAAAAAAATGGCATGTAGTTGTTAAGGATTGCTTTAATTCTTCGTGTAGGTCTAGCAATGAACTGAACGGAGTGCACAAAAGGAATTTTGTAGCAAATCCCACAATTTTTGGAGAAGGTTTAGCTTCCTGTTGTCGTCCAAGCTTTCGAGGGAGCAGAGCATTGACGGAATGAACCCGTTGATTAAAAAAATGGATTTGAGTGATGACTTTAAAACCAAAATTAAACTTACCAACCTTACCAAAATTTGAACAGAGTGACGGCGGCAAAGAAATGATTAATAAAATGCCAAAGAAAAAAAGCCAATGAATAGAACAAAGTAACACCAAGTGAAATGGATGCATAGTCGAGGCAAGAGTTGAACCATTTGTTTTTAAGTAGATTTTGCCTTGAAACTCCCAAGATACAACTATTATCTTCTTGTGTTTGTAACACTCCAAAAAGCAAGAACAACAAACCAAAAATTAGTTTTTGAACTCCTTAAATGAAATAGAAAACAGATTTTTGGCTAAGAAAAGATAAAATTTTATGTTATGACATGATTGTATATCATTGGGAGGAAGTACTGGACATCCCAATTGTCTTATTTATAGAAGAAAGGTTGTGAGTGAAGAGACGCGCCAAGATATTTTATTTCTTGAGTTATTCGGTACAATGGTAAGGACATTCATCTTGAATGGTCCATCTTTTACATAGCATTTGCCTACCTACATATTATTCTTGTTAAGTATAAACTTTTTAGATACAAAAATTAATTTAAAACCATTCTTGTTTAACAAAGATCCCGACACTAAGTTCTTGCAAATATCTGACACATGAAAAACGTTGTTAAGACTAAGTTCCTTACCCGATGTCATCTTCAAAATTACTTTACATTGTCCTTCTACTTTTGAATTTGAAGAGTTTCCCATAAACAACTTCTTACCATCAGTTGGGGTATAGGATGAGAACATTCCTTTATCGACACAAATATGATAGGGTTGCACCTATATCCACCCACCATTCCATGGGATTTCCAACATTGTTGCATTCTGAAATAACGGCCGACAAGTTTATATCTGATATACCATCAGATATTGCATCAGATTCGATGATATTCGTTTGGGCTTGCTTATTAGGTTTACGACAATCAATAGAGTGATGTCCGATCTTTCCACAATTATAGCAATTACCCTTGAACTTCTTTGCATTCTTCTTGGATGGTTTGACGAAATACTTTCTTTTCTTACTCTTGCTATTTGATTCACCACATTAGCCTTAGCTTGTGGTATATAACTCCCAACACGTTTGTCTGAATTTCCGTTATCTTCTTCAATTTTCAACAAGACAATGAGTTCTTTAATATTCATCTCCCTGCATTTGTGCTTGAAATAATTCTTGAAATCCTTCCACATAGGTAAAAGCTTCTCAATAATCGCATTCACTTGAAATAATTCACTTAGAGACATGTTCTCTGCGTGAATGTCATGGAGAATTACCTGCAATTCTTGTACTTAACTCGTGATCATCTTTGGATCTACCATTTTGTAATCCAAAAATTTTCTCACGATAAACTTCTTAGTTCTAGCGTCTTCTGTCTTGTATTTCTTCTCCAAAGATTTTCATAGTTCCTTTGCAGATTTTATGGAACTATGCACATTGTATAATGTGTTGTCCAAATCATTAAGTATGTAGTTTTCGCATAGGACGTCTGAATGTTTCTAAGCATCAAATGCTATCAATGATACTCTATTATTTTCTCTTTCTTGCACGATGGGAGCATCTTCCTTCAAGAATTTTGCCAAGTTTAGGATTGTGAGATAGAAGAACATCTTATGTTGCCATCTCTTGAAATCAATCCCACAAAACTTCTCCAATTTCTCTCCATGTGGAACGAAATTTCTATAAACGGTGGGAGGGCAACCGCAACCAGAAGAATCACAACGAGAGGAACCAAGTTAGGTATAAATTCTTCTGAAGTTCTCATATTCGATGTATCATTTGAAAAGTATCGGTATTGTTACCCGTATTCATTTCTGTTTACATAAAACAGAAGATAAACCAACAAAATCAAGATTCTAGAAAGAGTAGAAGAAGTTCAACCAAAACGAAATCAGTTTAACCGAATAGAAATCAAATATAAAGTTATCACTAAAAATCAACTTAAGATTTTTTATTTAAAAAATGGATTTGAGAGATGACTTTAAAACCAAAATTAATTTACCAACCTTACCAAAATTTGAGCAAATTAACAACAAAGAAATGATTAATAAAATGTTATGAATATGACAAAGTAACACCAAGTGAAATAAATGCAAAGTCGAGGCAAGAGTTGACATCTTTGTCCTTAAGTCATTTTTACCCTGTAACGGTGCCTACGGATGATAGCAATTAACTCCCAAGATATAAAGACTATCTTCTTCGGTTTGTAACACTCCAAAATACAAGAACAACGAACCAAAGATTGATTTTTGTACTCCTTAAATGAAATGGAAAATAGAGTTTTATGCAGAGTTTTGGCTAGGAAAATATTAAATTTTATGTTATGCTATGATTGCACATCATTGGGATGAAGTAATGGACGTCTCAAGGGTCTTATTTATAGAGGAGGAAGGGTTGTGAGTGAAGAGACACGTCTCAAAACTCAGCAACCATTATCTAGGGTCGCGGCTTTTGTTATCGCTCTCCTGTCGTCCCTGCATGGCCCGAGCATCAGAAACAAAAAGTTTGTCGCTTGAGAGACAACCTCACCACTCGAGCGCTAGGCGAGCGATAGAATTGGACAATTTTCCAACAAGTTTTCCTCTCTTTCTTTCCAACTTTGGAATGCAATTTCTCCTTTATCCGAAATTGGACCTCATTCCAAATATATTTCAACGATCAACTCGATCAGTAGAACAAGTTAGTTGATTTCTTTCCATAATTTGACTATCGGATCAAGTTCCAATATTTGGCCAAAACTAACACAAAAGTCACTTTTTCATGGTTTTATACTTAATAAATTCCAACATAACCAAAGCAATTACTTGTTCTAGAATGGCTATTGCAATAGAACCGTGGCAATTAGGATCTCAAGACGCGGCAACTATGATGCAAGGAATAATAGACTTACNTTAGGATCTCAAGACGCGGCAACTATGATGCAAGGAATAATAGACTTACTAAGTGATAATACATTGTGCCCGTGTTTAAAAATACAATAGCCATTGGTGTTTTTCATTCTTTTTTACGGAGCCATGGTACGCATGCCAATCTAAAGTGATAGTCGTAATTTAAGTTTTCTAACACAAACCACTACCTTGCACTCCAAAACTTTTATCATATAGGAGTCGATAATTAAGGAAGTTGGCTTAAAAAGAAAAGGAGAAGGGAGGATACTAAGATTGAAGCATGCAAGCATGCTTGAATAAGCTTAAAATCAAATCAGTTACTTATTAGTTATTAGTAAATTCCCAGTCCTAGAAGAACGATCAAGATGGAAAAAAAGATGTATCGGAGGCTCAATATACTTGAAGGACTGAGAATGTGCGAAATTAAGTCTTTAAGAACAAGTTGACACTATAATGGCCGATGACTTGCAGTAGATCCATTGATAGAATATTGTAAGTTTTTAAATTAATTTGATGACTTCATTATGTAATTTTTAAATTCATTTATTTGCAAAAAATTGTGCACAAAACACGAAATATTTTATTCGTATATAATTTTAACTCCGCCTGTTTTGACTGTAGTCGGTCCCAAACCCCAAAAAAGTAGGAGAGTTGTAATTTTTTTAGAATTAGTATAATTTTCACAAATTTTATATTATTAAAAGAATTTAAAATTTCACGAATTTACAAAAAGATAAAAATAAAAAAGAGCCGGCTCGGCTCGGTGAGGCCCGAGCCTAAAGCTCGAGCCAAGCTTCGATTTTTCATATGAGCTTCAGCTTTACTCGTTGACATGGCTACACATGAGAAGAATGAAAATGAAAAAAATAATGTGGCTTAAACAGGACCTAATAATGCCACAATAATAGCTATACATACGTAAGCAAAACAAATAATCAAACCCGAATAAAGGAAAAATAAAAATGAAAAAGTTACCTTCTTCGATGCGATTCTCTATTAGGCATCTTGGTACAGATCATAGAACCTCATCGCGTAAATTAAGGATTCACTTTCCGATCCTACATAATTGCCTCATTCAAATTCATCAACTCATATAAAGTTAATTTAATCAACACTTACTCAACTTTAAACTTGTTACCACTTACTCACTCAACTTCAACGGATTACTGAACGCTCACGCATCTTTACTTATTGTTACCCATCCACCATTCACTCGACTCCCGTCTCTTTTAATTAACAGAAAATTACACGTGTATGACGGAATACCATGTGGAAAATACCTCCATTAAATTGACCCAGCTGGAATTAAACTCACGACACTCTCATCTCCAAATACACTTCTCCCCCAATTTCTCTGCTCACCAATTCGAACCCTTAATTCTCAATTCAATTCAAACCTTTAATTCCCAATTCAAACCCCGACGGTCGAAAATTGGTGGAATCCGCCATCGCCCATCTCTGTAGAAGAACTAAGGTTGGTCTTTCTCTTTTGTTCATGCCCAGTGACTTGGATAGCGTTATTCAGACCAGATGGCTGTGGTACTTTTCAAGAGTCTGTTTCGTAGCAGGGAGTATCGTAGAACCAATAAGACTGAAGGAAAACCAACATGAAAAAGACGCATTTTTGTGCAAACTGAGACAAGTTGTGTTCTAGGAATGGAATAAGACCGGAGTGATAATGCAAATACCATGAAAAGGAAGTTGCAACTTGCCCTGAACTTTCCCACTGAGGAAAGGTGTTTGACATTTGGTGATATGGTGTTGAAAAATGACCTCAGTGTCGTTCGAAATGACTCCCAATTTCTTCTGAAGTGGAAAAGGAATTACAGAATGTTTTATTGCTGCTGGTTATTGATGGTTTATATTGCTATTGGTGGGGGCTGATAATAAGATTGTAGCTGGTTGTTGTATATGTAGTTGGTTGTTGTGACTTGGCTATATGATCTTTGTACTATTGAATGAATGAATCATGTTATACCTTGGTTTGTTTCATTTTTGTGGCTGAGTTAGTAGAATTAGATGTTACTTCTGAGGTTGCTGAAAATTGGATTGATTGAGGTGCACAAATTTTCCTTTTGTTCTTGAACTCATTGGAAGAGTAAACATAAACCAGTAAAATAGAAACCAGTAAAAACACAAACTGTTGGATGTTGGCCAAAATACAGTCCATTCATTCATTCATTCATTCTCAAAATCATAAATATAAACCAGTAAACTGCTGGAATGTAACCATTCATTCAAAATACATTCATCCATGATGGTTAAATGACATTTCAAACACATTCATGACCAACAGCTACAGCTGGAACAACAGCCAAAGAACCACATTCTAACTGCTTTCTTCACAGGTAGCAAAGCCCTCTTCCTGGATGATGTCGCAACATCAAGCAATAAGAACCACTTTTTGAAATTTTCCAACTGACTTGTGTTTGATTGAGAAATAGCCTGTAGCTCATTAAGTTCTCCTGTGTCCATCCTCTTTTTCACTTTAGAATTTGCAAAAGGGGGCAACCTGGACTGTCGTATAATCAGGAAAGTTAATCTTATAGCATGTAGTGGTTAACTTAAAAGCAGTGCAATTCATTCCAAGGAGAGAAGTGTTTTCCAGCAACCTTAGTGACCATCAGTTGCCAAAAATGTGTAGGCCGTGACACAAGATCTTTCACCCATGGCTGATTGTCAACCAAGATATAGAATTTTTTGCCTTCGGGGCCAGAAATTGGCTAAGATGTGAAAGGTAAGACTGCAAATCCCTGCACAACATAATGCCATAATCTAAGTACTGATACTAAAAATATAGCATAGAATAATCAATCATACGAGCTTGGAGTCTAGAAAACGATATACAAATTCTCGATATCAATCAAAAATATGGAAAATATGATTGCATGTTCGCAACTCATTTGTCATTGATGTCAACGCCTGCGGTTCTACATAAAAAAAATTATTTGTAGTTAATTCAATCATCTTGAATTCTCTTTATAAATCAAAAACATGAGAAACTGTTAGTTCCACATCAATTTGAAACAATTAACACATCTTTTTGGAATACAGAATAAGGCCTAGAAATTCGAATATGCAAAATTAATTCGAATTCAAGTGAAAACCATTCCATTTCCAAATTTGGCGACCCAATTCCTTTCCATCAAAAAAATTTATTTATCAAAAAATCTGTATCCCTCGTGTTCTGTTCTTCCCACCTTAAAACCAACAAAATTGAATACTGTTCATCAAATTATAAATCAGTTTTGCAAAAAGGCAAACAACATTTACATTCACACATGCATCTGATTAATTAGAAAACCAAAGAACATTACATCGAAGTATTGAATCAATTGCAAATTCATTCATAAACGCATATAGGTCGAAAAATTGAGAGGGGCAGAAAACAATTACCCAATCTACAAACTTGTTTTGTTACATACGAAGCGATCATTGTCATCGTTCCCCATCAAATCAATAGCAAAATCACATTTTAATTCTTTCAAATTTAGCCCACCAACTGCACTGCTCATCAAATAAATAGCATTTCAAGAATAAATTGATGAAGCCGAACTGAATTCATTAAAGGGATAATTTAATCAACACTCACTCAACCATTCTCACTCAATTTTTGAGCTGGGCAATGGCGGATTCCACCAATTTTTGCCTGTCGTGGGTTTGAATTGGGAATTAAGGGTTCGAATTGATGAGCAGAGAAAATGGGGGAGAAGCGTGTTTGAAGAGGAGAGTGTTGTGAGTTTAATTACACGTTGGCAATTTAACTGAAGGAGTTTGCCACGTCTGAAAATCGTTATACACGTGTAATATTCTATCAAATTGAAGAGACGGGAGTCGAGTGAGTGGTGAATGGGTAACCATAAGGAAAGATGAGTGACCGTTTGATAATCTGTTGAAGTTGAGTGAGGAAGTGGTAACAAGTTTGAAGTTGAATAAGTATTGATTAAATTAACTCGATGATAACTAGATTTAGAATTGCATTCAATATGTAGTATTATTTGTATGCCAATAGATAAAAAGTTGCAGCATAAAAAGCAAATTAAACTAGGACAAATTCTGCAATTCTGATAATAATTCAAATGAAAATTCACCCTCATGCATTTCATCAACATAATATCACCTAGGAATTGCGAAAAACTAGTCATTTTACTTCTAAGAAAGAAAACAGATACGATAGAATCCTTCTTCGAGTTCCAATTTATAGTCTTCATCAAAATATGTCCAAGAATCTCATTACGGCACAAAATCATCAATCTTGAACTTTTGTGGAAATAGGAACATTCTGGTAGTCACATTCATCATTCAGGAAAACAGTGGTGAGAACATTGCTTGAATGTAGAGATGCCTTCAAAAGCTTCACAGCCTAAAGAAAAATAAGATTCAAAATTGTGTACCCGAAAACGGGGGAAAACGAAATTGCGATTTCTGCAAGACAATGACTCAAAATCAAGAACATTGACACTGTAACCTTGTTGAACTATAACAGCTCCAAATTAAGCATTTATCTCAATTACATGAATTTTTTTTGGTCATTCTCTTTGTTGCTAGATCTAAAACAAAGAGACAATTATTTAATCTAAAACAAGTGATCCTTAGCAATTATAACAGACTGGCCATGTGAGTATTGATCTAACCATCTTTGTTAATTGAAAATAGAATGTAAAATAGACGAAGTGAACCCCTCTCTAATATGTTAAGCTTTTGGATAGGTGGTTAGTGGGGTATTAGTTTCTTGTGGTCAATCATTCAAAAAGTACAGTGCAAGTGTTAGGCATTACGAAAAATTAACTCGGCTTGCACATGTGGGAGCAAACTGAGACACAATCTAATAATTAAAATTTGGAACTTACCTAACACCTCAATTTTTTAGATGGGGTGGTTCGACTTACCTCATTCATCCCAAACTGTACATTCTTTTCTTGGAGTGTAGCAAATTCCTTAATATTATATTCGTTAAGCAAAGCAACGCTGGATACAGTCGACAAAGGCTTTACAACCAGATCATCCATTACCATGTAAGTCACTGCATCTTTCACAAATCCTTCATTCGGCCCATCTTTCTTTTGTGGAGGAGCAACATAACTAAGAGCTCTGGTCATTGGTCTGGAGCAATTTTGGCAAGGTGTATTGGGATCATCTGAAAAACTGTATTGATAACTGCAGTTACCACACATATAGTAGGTTTTGTGAGTTGGTTTATCAGTGAGCAGTGCTGAAGGCACAGAAGTAAATGGATTCGGTGCCTTTGGTTTCAAGAATATCTCTTTGTTCTTGCCCTGTAATATATAGGTATCGTTCAAATTCTCAACGCTTTCATAGAGCTTCCCCAAGCAGCCCACCATTTCTTGTTTGCCGAGTAACCTAATAGCAGTACCTAATGGCATAGCAAGAATGTGAAATATGAAATCAACAAAGTCTTTTCCAACTTCAGCAAATAAAACCCTTTTGTTTTTCGTATCAATCAACAGCTTCAAGTGCACCTCGGATTCTGCCATGCTGCTCATGAAAATCTATCTGTGTTAGTACCCGTTGCTGAAGAGAAATTTAGAGTCTATTTATATAGAGATTAGTCACAAGAAAATCAAATTGCAAAAAGATTCTCAAAAGTATGGTGCAATTAAGCATGTGTGAAATAATTTGTGCAGTGGGTACTTAACTGATGCCGTCCATTTTTTTTCTAAGAAAACAGGAAATTTAAAAAAATTGAATTCTACAACCAAATCAAATCTCTTCTAATTTGTTTCTCGATTAACACCATAATTACTCTTTTCACGTGTGGTAAGTGGACAAAACAATACTACCATATGCTAAGCAATATTGTCAAACCAAGCCGGATTTCGACAGGAAAGAACAAATCCAGTTCGTGCTAACTTCTGTAGTTAAAAATGGGGTTGGGATCTGGTCATATGGCTGGTTCAACCAGTAACTGAGTGAACTGGACCAGGTTTTACTAGGCATCTTCAATTTTAGTGTCTATTTTCCAAGTCTGAAGTGTTAAAATAATCATAAAATGATTCTAAATACTTCGTATATAAGAATAGAACATCATTAATTCTCGTTTTAGGTAAAATAAATAATCAATTCACCAATGAAATTAAGCAAGAACTTACCTGGGTAATTAGGGTTAGCGCCTGCTTGGGAGTTTTGTGTAGGTTAGGGTTCCTAAAGTATCGATTTTGGACGTTTATTAGGCCTGTTTTGGATGATTTTTAGTAGCAGTTTTGAAAATCAAAAGAATATTAGTTCTCAATAAACCAAAATGTACAACTTGTCTGTTATGCATCTTTTTTAATTTTATTAAACAAAATATTATAGATTAAATAATTTTATTAATTGAACTTTGACTTTCAACTTGGCTAGTTTTATCTTGATTTATTTGATTGACATCATTTCCATCCCAATTCTGAATCGGTGCATCTACCTTATTATGGTAACGCTTGTTGTGGCCAGGTAAACAACATAAAGTGCATATCATCTTCATTGTGCATTTTTTCTTCATTCTTGAAGTTGTAGCGGAATGAGTGATTACATCTTCCTCTTGCTGCCTTCTACGATTTTTTTGCTTCCTTCCCCTCTTCACCACCACCCAACCCGACGGTTGTAAAGGGATAGCATTCACTTCCGGCCACAATTTCTTACCGTTAATGGGATTGACAATGTTTTCATAGCACTGTAGATAGGTTTGCACTGTTTAGCACTCATGTACATACTTTGTAGGATTATCCCATATATCTAGTATAACAACAACCCCATGTCCACATGGAATCCCTGTCAAATCCCATCTCCTACATGCACACGTCTTGTTTGACAAATCAACCACGTATTCCCTAATACGACATTTCCATAGAACTGTGGGCCCAAACCACTCTACTTCACACTCCTCAGCTATTTCCCTGGATTTAGCTCATTTTTGTTGAATCTTGGGACACAAAGGTCCTCTGGCTCTTCTCATCTTATCCCTCATTGATTGTATCCTCTTCATGCAGCTAATATACATTTCAATTAATATAGTTAAGATTGATTTCTCCCTATCCTCTAACAATACATTGTTGAAAAACTTCACATAAATTGTTAAGTACTACATCACTCTTTACCTTANGTTAGTAGAATTAGATGTTACTTCTGAGGTTGCTGAAAATTGGATTGATTGAGGTGCACAAATTTTCCTTTTGTTCTTGAACTCATTGGAAGAGTAAACATAAACCAGTAAAATAGAAACCAGTAAAAACACAAACTGTTGGATGTTGGCCAAAATACAGTCCATTCATTCATTCATTCATTCTCAAAATCATAAATATAAACCATTAAACTGCTGGAATGTAACCATTCATTCAAAATGCATTCATCCATGATGGTTAAATGACATTTCAAACACATTCTATGGCCAACAGCTACAGCTGGAACAACGGCCAAAGATAGTTCACTGTCAAAAACTCTTCAAAACAGACCCTAAACTACATTTATTTGATTTCTCCAGTGTTGTTAGATTGTGCATCACTTGTGACCAGAAGTCCAGGTGTCGGCATGAAAATGTATCAATCTGTTGGAAGATTATGTTGTACTTCATTTGTTGAATTCTTATTTGCTCTTTGAGTTTCCAGCTTGGCTTATGTTAGAGAAATGGTTAAGGGTCATGAAATCAAAAATCAATGGTAATCATAGAGTAACGAAATCGAAAAATTACCCTTGAACTTTGACTTTCAACTTGGCTAGTTTTATCTTGATTTATTTGATTGACATCATTTCCATCCCAATTCTGAATCGGTGCATCTACCTTATTATGGTAACGCTTGTTGTGGCCAGGTAAACAACATAAAGTGCATATCATCTTCATTGTGCATTTTTTCTTCATTCTTGAAGTTGTAGCGGAATGAGTGATTACATCTTCCTCTTGCTGCCTTCTACGATTTTTTTGCTTCCTTCCCCTCTTCACCACCACCCAACCCGACGGTTGTAAAGGGATAGCATTCACTTCCGGCCACAATTTCTTACCGTTAATGGGATTGACAATGTTTTCATAGCACTGTAGATAGGTTTGCACTGTTTAGCACTCATGTACATACTTTGTAGGATTATCCCATATATCTAGTATAACAACAACCCCATGTCCACATGGAATCCCTGTCAAATCCCATCTCCTACATGCACACGTCTTGTTTGACAAATCAACCACGTATTCCCTAATACGACATTTCCATAGAACTGTGGGCCCAAACCACTCTACTTCACACTCCTCAGCTATTTCCCTGGATTTAGCTCATTTTTGTTGAATCTTGGGACACAAAGGTCTTCTGGCTCTTCTCATCTTATCCCTCATTGATTGTATCCTCTTCATGCAGCTAATATACATTTCAATTAATATAGTTAAGATTGATTTCTCCCTATCCTCTAACAATACATTGTTGAAAAACTTCACATAAATTGTTAAGTACTACATCACTCTTTACCTTAGTGGAGGGTTGCGTTTTTTATATCGCAAGTGCACGATATCGTAACAAATAATATAGTGGACTTTTGAGTCCGAATTATCGTTCCCACGATGACTATACTTTAATCTTAATCTACTTTTTCTAATCCCTATTTGACAAAATAAGTAAATAATTATGATGATTGTTCCTAACTACTTTTGACTAATTGAAAATATAAAAAAAAAATCTACAAACAATTGATAATTGAAGAAACAAATATGTGATGAATATTATGAAATAAAAATTTAATCTATTGATCACCTTTATTCTTAATTCAAGATTAATAATCTAATGTAGTGTAGTATTCGATCGAATTCTTCTATTGTATTCAATTTACCCCTATCGAGTTCTCATTGAGCCTATTTAACTAATTCAATTCCATATCTTTATGCGAATCAATTTTAGTTAAACGAAATACTAAATCTAAGAATTCAAATTATGACCGCAATAATTAATATAGATATCTCTACATGTTATACTAATTTACCGGATTTTATTATGGTCTAAATCTCAAACTCGCATCTCGATTTATAAGAAAATCACATAATCATCAAATTATTGATCACAGAGACCTTGAAAACAAGTAAACGATTAAAATCATAATCAAATCAACACATAAATAAATAAATAAATCACAGAGACCTTGAAAACAAGTAAAGAATCACAAGTCGACTAGATTATTTTCTCTAATATAAAAATTAGTTATTCATACTGGAAGAATAAAAAAAGAAAATGTGGAAAGAAATCACCAAAAATTGACCAAACGTGAAAATTTCTGGTGTTTGCAGCTGTCTTTTCTATTTCCTGTCTTTTTTTTCCTTTCTTTCTCTGCTTTTTTCCCTCCTGTTGGCTTTTCTTTCTACTTTTCTCTTTCTTCCCCTTTCTTCTTTCTCTTTTCTTTTCTTTTCCTTCTCTTTCTTCTTTCTCTTTCTTCGTATTTCTTCTTTCTCTTTTCTTCTGCTTTTCTTTCTGCCACGTTTTTTTTCTCTCTTTTTCTGATTCTCTTCAGCACCCTCTCTCTTGCGTGAATCTATCTGTATATTTATTTCTCCTCCAGTTATTGTGTTCTAGGGTAATTAGAATTTCAAGTCCAATTAAATTTGAGTCCAAATCAAATTAAAACCTAATTTAATAATAACTCACATTTCTTTCATGCCATCTTGAATTGTAAGAGTAATGCTACAGGTACATAAGCATCTACATAAGGGTTGACATAATTACACGTGACATATAATTCAACATTTAATTCAAATTTCGCACTTACACATCAACAACTTGATGATTGACACATCACCATTATGTGCACCATTATGTGCATAATTATGTACCTCTAGCATTATTCAAATTGTAATTTGCACCAATGTCCAACATTATTTTAGAATGTACATTCTAGCCCTTTCAATTACACTTATCAAACACCCCCAAACTTAAATCTTTGTTTGTCCTCAAACAACATTAAAAATTAACAAACACACAAAAAAGCAATGATAATTACCTAATTGAGGTCAATCAATCAAGTAAAGCAATACAATTTAGCTAGCTAACTTGACTTTTTATTTCAAGATTGAAATCATAATATCAAATCTATGCACAACTTCAAAATCACAATACATAAATTAAAATTCACTTTTCCAATGTAAAATCGACGTGTGTGTGGAGAATTAAGTATAGTATTATGAATTCATAAGTTGTTTCAATTCCCGACCCTCAATGGTCAAATACGTTCTTTCATCACTCGTAAGATTCATACACCCCAAACTTATTCTTTTCACTATTTTCCA